GATGGAGGCGATGGAGGCGATGGAGGCGATGGAGGCGATGGAGGCGATGGAGGCGATGGAGGCGATGGAGGCGATGGAGGCGATGGAGGCGATGGTGCTGACGATGGTGGTTCGGTAGGAGGAGAGGGGGCGAGCGGTCGCAGCATTTATCCCGTCTGAGCAAGCGTAGGCTGAGCCGCCGAAGACAGTAGCTTGGCTAAAACGACTCAAGAAGGAGAAGAGGAGGGGCGGCAGGGCTGAGTCGGAGACAAGGCGCAGTTGCAGCTCGCCTCGGCGCGAGCCTCTTCTGGTCCGAGGTGCCAAATGTCGAAAATACGGAAAATCGAAAATCATCTCGCCGCTGTCGAACTAGGCGCAAAATCCGCCTCGGGGACCCCGTCTTTCCACACGACTTTCGCGGAGAGCAATGCGCAAAGGACGTTAACTTGATTTATTTAATACTTTATGAAGAGTCCTCGCGCACGCTGCATCTAGCGCCAAGCAACGAGAACAGTTTATACAGAGCAACATGTCTGGGGTAAATGCCTTGAAGCGGCCGAAGAGGATCATGTTAGATTTCGACACTTTGAATGGTGGTGCGACCGCAGATACGAACCCGGTGACAACGCCATGTGCCTCCTAACAGTTTCGTTTGTAGTTCTCAATCATCCCCTCGGTATCTGAGGCCTTGGTTCAGACTGTATTCGCCGATCTTCACGGTCCGCTATCCGCGTGATCTCGTCCAGGAGGACGTGCGTCAGCTGACGAATGGCTTCATTGGAGTAAGAGCAAGCGATCACAATCAACTTCACAATGTCTGCTAGTTTTCGTTGCCCCATTGCCGCCTGCTGTTCCTCTGATCAGCTCACTAAGCAGTCATGGTTAGAACTGCAAGGGGAACGGCATCAGAAGACTGATTTTCATTTGGTCGCCGCGACTTGTCACAGCCGCGAAGCGGTCTAGCGTGGTCCGGCTGCAGTGAGCTTGCTCCCCTTCCCCTCTTCCGCCACGTGGCAAACCTTAGCCGCTGAACAGTTCCCGAGTCAAAGTTGGAGAAATTCCGGCCAGAGCTTGACGTTGCCCGCACCTGCGCGGCTAAAGCTTTGCAAAGAACTCGGATCTTGTTGTTGCCGGATCTGCGTCGGACTTTCGGGACGAAGGGCGACCCCGTGACTCCGAGTCACTCCGTTCGCATCTGCAGCTTCGGCTTAAGTGGTCACTCGAGGACCCCAGATCCAGGTAGTCAGTCCACTGCAGGTGTGTCTGTCGCTCAGTCTGGCAGTGATGTGCTCACGCACGCCCTCACGCATGCTGATTCTTTCGGAGCATCCAAGCTGCGCTCCTGGACAAGGTATTGCTCCTAAAGGCGACCAATGCTCTTCGCAGAGCCGGTCGTCTTCTCCCTGAGCACTTCGCAATGTGGATGCAAAAGTTCCACTTCTGTGGGATGATGAAAGTGCGCGGTCACAAACCAATCAACGCCTCCCTCTAGGTCCGCTTTCAAGCTCATGCGCGAAGATTGACAAAGACACCGTGTCTCTGAGCCCCTTTGTCTTGGTCCCATTTCAGCCCGTAGCGGGGACGGGAGCGCTCCATTTTGCCGATGCTTGCTCGCTCTCCGTTGCACATGGAGCTCGAGCTGGAGCTGGAGCTGGAACTGGAGCTGGAGCTCGAGCTGGAGCTGGAGCTCGAGCTGGAGCTGGAGCTTGAGCTGGAGCTGCCTCTTGCAGGAGGATCGAGAATGATTGGAAAGTTGTTCTGTCGACCAGACGCATCGTCAGAGCTTCGCTGGTCAGGACTTGCTCGCCGAAGCAGCGCGCAAGCAGATGGAACTTTCTTGCCCGCTCCAAGCGCTTGACGAGAGCAGACCGAGTAAGCTCGGCCCGCCTTGTCCAATGAGTCGTGACCTCCTCCAAAATCGCGAAACCCTTTCGGTGGAACGCCTTCGTTTCAGCTGACGGTGGTGTCTCCTGGCAAACCGTGGCGACAAGCCTGACGAAGGAATCTCCGAGGTGCGCATAGGCTTCGTAGACTCTTCCCGTAGCCCTCTTGCACTCGGACTCTCGATCCAGCAGCTCTTCTAGCTGTTCTGTCACTGCAGAAGCCGAGATCGTGCCCGGCGACGGGGGCAACGCGGAAGGCACTACAGCCCTGGCGCTGAGACGACGCGCGAGCATTTGAGAGTCATCACTTGCTCCCTCGGTCCTCTCGAACAGCTTCTTGAGCAAGAGCGCGTGCCTAGTGCATGCTTCCTGAGCCGCAGCCTTTGCATGTTTCCTCTTTCTTGGACCGCAACGGTCCACGCTCCCAAAGGACGCGCCTGGAGCGTCCAAAGGCTGCGTTTGCGAAGCTGCATGAAGCAAGCTGATCGAGAGCGGGATCTGTCAGAGAAGAAAGCATACGTGAGCCGGCCATGCAAATCGCAGCTGGGCTTGTGTAGAACAGCTTACCTCGTATCCTTCGCCGCGGAATCCGAACTGGAAGTGCGATAAGGCCAGACAGTTTCGTTCCATTGTCACACCGCCGATGCGCAGGGCCATGAAAATCGCAGAAAAGACGATCGCAACGTTTTCTGCACCATTTTCAGGTCTATCAGGCGACACGTATTGTCGGATTGATTCGATCAGGTCTGGCATCCCCGGAACGGCAGCGACTTGTTCCGAAGACACGTGCAGAGTGGTCAAAGAAGGCGTGTCGGCGTCACGCAGGCCGTCACTCTCCCTCATTTCTTTGAAGAAGATGCTGTCCCGGAGCCAGCTGCGGGATCAAGGGTGACAAAGGGCATTGAGGGGACGAGCAGATGAGATGACGCAGTTATGTACTCGACGGTCGGGCAAGGCTTTGTCGCCACGCTTGATGAGAACGCACTGCAACAAAAGTTCGTGAAAGAGGTACGGTAGGACAGCAGATTAAGAGGACGCTAGACGTAGGAGGTGGGAGGTGGGAGGTCATGCATGCTATCAGTCACCAGCAGCTTAGGGATCTCGGAGATCGGCAGCAGAGTCTTCAGGCGTATGAGAAGTCGAACCTCATGTTGCGGGTAGGACAAACGAATTTTGAAGAACGTGCTCTACAGCCTTGGCGCTCGAGGTCTTCCCTCACAAAGAGCGAGCCCCCAACGGCCGGAGAATGCAAGCTGGTCAGCCTCGCCGTTCTCACGGCCGCGCACGGTTCGTCGGGTAGAAACAGATCGCAGGCAGCAGCATCCTTCGTGAGCGTGACGAGCAAGCTCGGACCCCCGCGCCTGGATCTTCGAGGCTGCCGAGGTGCTATGATGTGCCGCCAATCTCACGGTCACGCTCGGTCCATCTATGCACGATCATGAACCGCCGTGTGGGCCAAAGTGACCAGCTGCATCGTGTTTCTCACGCCCACGCTCGGCCCCTTGGGCACACGATAATCATGACAGCCGGCCACTCACGCGGGGAGGCTAAGTGACCTGGTGATCGCGTTCGGACCTCGCCAGCCGTCACGACGCGGTTGTGATTGTTTTTCCTCATGGCCACGCTCGGTCCAACACGGGCTTCGCTGAGAGCGAGGATTGCGTCTTTTCAGACGTTCCCAATCTTTTCCTTGCAGAGAAGGAGGGACACACGGCGCTCGTTCCTCTCTATCCAGATTTCAAGCCTCAGTGAGGCGGACCGAAACGCGAAAGGGAGAATCATCGACTACCTTCTCTCTGCTCGAGAAGCGGTTCGACTGGCATCGTTCTTTCCGTCTTGTGATGCTCGTGCGGACACCCTTCTCAAGCACCGTCGACAAATTGATCGCAGACATTGTTCTCTTCCTTCATGTGAGCCCCTGTTCTGTTCTGGGTAGAGCGCACAGATACGGAATCGCGTGCGAGCCATCCCGCTTGGCTCGCTCGAGACTGGCGGACGAGGGCTGAATGTTTGCACAGAGCAGATCGCGACAGATGGTCGGCTCCCGGATCAAGTCAGACGCATACCACTGGGTTGAAGAGAGCCTAAGAACGCAGCCGATTGACGGTGTTCTTCATGCCGCACAGACTACCTGCGTGGCCGGTACCTTTCCAAACCAAGCCCTGTCGCTTGTCTGCTTTCGCTGCATACACGCATCACAATCGTCTGTCGTGACGCTGTCCTCGTCCATAGGAGGCTATGGTCAATTCCGACTTGAGCTCGAAGTCCATTTGTACAAGTACGGGCGAGACGATTCCGCCTAATCTCTAGGCCCGCTCCCTCCATCCGAGCTTGACGTTACGTGAGGGACACTACCCGCTTTCACAACAGGTCGCACGCAAGTGCACCTGCCAGTAAAAGTTCACCGCATTCCTTCGTCAGCATCTTGCTGCGATCAATCTTTCCTTGCTCGCTGCAACAAATGACGAGAAGCGGTATGATGTACGAAGCTACTCGAGTTCTAGGGGAAGGCGCTTTCGGTCAAGTCTATGAAGCGACAACCGCTGGCAGCAAAACTGTGAGTTGGCATCATCGAAGAAGAAGCAGGTCCAAGGGCGCTTGCTCATCGCTACACGTTCACATACGACTCCGTCTTAGCCTGTGGCAATCAAGATGATCCGGTCTTCCGGGCTTGTCCACTCTCAAGTTGCGCGCGAAGAGATACGAATCCACCGAACGATCAGTCACGACGCGGTCGTGCGCTTCGTTGAGGCATGGACCGAGCCGGGCCGGGTCTTCATCGTCCTGGAGCTCTGCTCAGCGACTTTAGCTGACTACATCGGCTTTCTACACAGTCCAAGGTCGTAGGTAGAACGATCATCGCAGGACACCGAACTGAACTTTCGCCCACGATCAGGATCTGACATTCTTCACGCAATTCTCTCAACGTGCACTCCACATCACAGCTGGACGCAGGAGCAACAGAGTGGCCTATTCGAACGAGTCAGGCCAGAACGCCTTGCCCTGCAGATCATTTTTGCTCTGCACTACCTACACACAAGTCAAAAGCTTCGCAGGGCCATCCTCCATCGGGATCTAAAGCCAGAGAACAGTAAGCGACGAGCTCGGCCGCTATCAATGACTCGGCCATCAACTTGCGAGTTCCGGCGAGTTCCGGTCTCATTGCTTCGTCGACAAAGTATGCTTATCTCTCAGCTTTCTCCTTTCCACCATCAGTACTCATCCACGGTTCAGGCATCGCAAAAGTATCCGACTTTGGTCTGGCTTGCGTGATCGATCGGGGCACAAAAGCGAGAATGGGGATAGCCGGAGTGGGTACCGATGCAGAATATCGAACCTTCTGCCGGCCGTCAAGGTGCTCCGCTGACATCTCCCTTTCCTCTTCCTCTCCTCTGGCTCGCTCACAAACCTAGACTCCTGGCTTTCGCAGCCCGGTGAGTCTTGAGGGGTAGCCTCGGGTATCCGTTCCAGCCTTGAATCCAGCTGTTCTCATATTTCCCCCGCTGCAACTGCACCTCCTGTCATCTGTGCAACTTCTCTCTGCGTCACAGGAGATGCTCAACGGCCTTCCCTACGGCACAGCGACGGACATTTGGTCGCTCGGTAACCTGCTGTGGGAGCTGTTCACAGGAATGTAAGCGAAGAACCACGCCGCTTTCTTCGGGCTTCAATCTCACCCAGATTCTTCTGTACAGACCTTTGCACCGCGAGCTGCAGTCAGGATCATCCAAATACAACGTTCGGGTCAACGTCAGGTCCGGAAAAGGCGTATTTCACCTCCGCTCTGCAATAGACAGGATGCTTTCAAGAAAGGTGAGTACACCCGTCTGAGCGACAAAACCTCGTCGTGATCACAAGGGTCCCGAGATGAAGACGTTTCTGGACGCTCATGCTCATGCTCTTTGAGCCACGCAGGACGAGGCGAGGCCTAGCACGAACGATCTGCTTAGCGATGCCGCA